GAGGCATAGCCGTGCTTTAAGCAGAAAAGCGACCATCGCACCAGAGGAGTACACCCAAAAAAAAAGAGGGGGGAAAAAAAAAGAAAAACATACTGATGCAGAGCTATAATTAGAATCAGAGCACGCCATGAGTCACTAAGTGCTGCAGAATCCAGTGGAAAGCAGAAAAATCTCCTGGAAGGAAGCAAGAAAAAGTTCAAAATGTCGAGCACATCGGAGTTCATGTTTCGCCTTGTTAAAGCAGGCATAAGAAGATGAAGGCAGGCACTCAGACCATTACTGAAAGGTTTTGCAGAGGAAGTTCCAGAAAAGGTACAGAACCCACTAGTCTTATCGAATACCACAAATTAAAAAAAAGACCCACATCAGACTACTTTCTATTACCTTGCTGCCAGCTTACCTCTTCCTTACGTATATATTTTGAAGACATTCTGTTCAATCTCCTTTCTACCCAGTGCAGCATGGCAGTCCTCATGATGCTACGAGTCTAAACCAAGCACTTCACAAGAACCGAATAACCAAAAAATAAAGTGCAAGGTTTTACAGGGAACTGCAACCTCCTGCAACCTCCATCATCTGTACGATATATTCATACAGATGTATCATCTACAGAAAATATCCCTGAAGTCAAGTTCATTCTGCTGATTTTTTTCTTGAGATGCTTCCTGCTTACCTGATGTTTTTGTCATTATAACCAATCACTTAGGTTTTGTCTTATTTCTATTCCACTCCTTTTGTACTGGTCTATTTGTTAATGTGCAAGAGCAATCTCCTCTGTCTTTTGTGGATTACTGAAATCCATTTATATAAAGGCTGGGATTTAAAACAACAGGCTAGCTTATAAAGCTACCAACATATGTCCAATGCTACTGCCTGTGCACCCACATGTAGTTATAGCCTAGATTTCAAACACACAGTCTCTCAACCCACTGCCTGCACAAAATCCTTTGTGCCTTTATTCTAAGCTTTGACAGCAAGCTCACAATCGCTTTGTTCAATTTTAAACCGCACTTTCTAGCTGCTGTAAGGGAGAATAGGTAGCTGCTATAAATATTTTATTCTGTATTTTTTCCTCCTGGGATTTACAATAAATTTCGTCCTGTGCTTCGCATCTGCTCAACGAGGGCGGTATGCAGGATAGATGTATCACATTTGTACATGTCCTATTATTTAAAATGGCCAGTATTAAATCTTTTCCACCGTTTTCCTTTGGGCATCTGTTAACTGTAATAAACAATCTGCAAGTAGCATTTTTTTTTAAAATTAACAAAAAAAAAAAGGAGTAGTTTAGTGGAACTGGAGAGAAGTGCATATTTAACTCACTACCCCCCATCCTCTTCTCATAACCTGAAGTGGAGCGTTGTACAGGGCACGTCAGATACATTCCAGGTACCAATTCTGGAGACCTGGTTTACACCACCAATTGCCACCTTCAGGAGGGCAGACGTCCTGCCTTTCCAACATCTCATGAGCAGGTCTGAAGCACAGAATGTGCTTTCTTCTGGTGGTCACACGCACACATGGAGTTTGCTTCCACATTCCCAAACATCTTTGTCACCTTCACCATCAAGCAAGCATACTCTTGATCCCGTCCAGATGAAGATAATGTTTCCAGAGTCACTAAAGTGGCTGAGAAACTCCAGTCCCAACTTCAGAAGATGTTTGTAAGCTGTGGATAGACCATCCTTTCCAGACCACTGCGCAAGGTTCCAGATGCTTTTAACCACCCTGTACCTTACTGGGTTTATGCTCTCCACAATCTACTCTGCGAGTTGCTTATATATTAACGAGTGTACAGTTTTAATAAACCAGCTGATTTTGACCTCAGTGGGTCAAAGAACAGTTTTATGAGCAGTTTTACTTGCAGACGTGAAGGGGCAGTCACCTCTAGGACAGCAATATAAACAGCTGGGAGAGATAACTTGTACTGTCACAGCAACACCTGGATGTGGGTGACTGTCTACAGTCTTGGGTACTCAAACCCCCTTTTCCTTCTTCGTCCAAGTCACATTCTGAAGTGCTACAGAATACAATTTTCAGGTACTTCCAGCTGACAGACAACTGTCCAGACAAAATGTTTTGGTGACTGGGAGGTACGCTCAGCAGTACTAACCTACAGTTTTACTCCTCAGTCACCCGAGCATCTGCCTGGAGACCACCCATCTCCCTCCCAGGCTCTACACCCGTATTTCCTTCCCCTAGATACACAAGGGAAAGCGGGGGAGAAGGGGCTTGTGTGCACCTACGTCTCAGTCAAACTTACAGGCTGACAAAAGCTAGGACAAGCCAGGAATCAGGAAACCTAAGTTTCAGGGTCAAGAAAGTCAATGGCACTTAGACTACATGCAAAAGGGACATTTGTAAAGCTGTATTTACTAGAAGCACGAATTTAAAAACCCTCTCCCTCCATCCTACCCCGTACCAGTACTGCTGTGCTGGCAAAATCCCCAGTATGAACACAGCCGTGCCAACAGCAGAGACCTTTGCCGATTTATTTCATGTTGTTTCTAAGGTGATTTACCTTTGCTAGTGAAGAGGAGGCTACGAGGCAGAGCCAATTCTTGTCTAAGCGAGCTCTGATATTTGGAAATGTAGCCACAGGTCACTTTTGAGGTGTTGGGGGATTTTTGTTTGTGGTTTTTTTTCCTTTTTTTTTTTTCTTTTTTAAGCAAACAAGGTCTGCTGCCAAACTCTGTCCAATTTGGTGAGAATTACAGACAACATTCTTCCTGGAGACAAAGGTCTAAAGTGTAATCAGCTGTAGAGACTGAAATATGAACAAAACACCCTTTAAAGCTACGTATCAAGTAGTCACACAGCTGCATGTTTTACACTAGGGTGAGAGTTGGGTGGTTTGGGAGGCTTAATGGCTATGCCGAATGAATGGTGAGACAAAAATAAAATATTTACTTACCAAACCAAGCCTGTTGCTCTCCTTGGACTTCTATAGCCAATCCAAAGTCCGCCAGTTTTACTGCTGCTCCCTTGGATTTGCTAGCTAAAAGTAAGTTCTCAGGCTTTATTCAGAGAGAGAAAAAAATTGAGATGAAAAGATAAGTAAATATATTTTAGACAGGTTTTCACTTTTTTTAGTTATGGTAGTCTGGAAAAGAACAAACACTTAGAGGAGTGAAAAAGAGAAAAAACCCATGCATTTTCTCCATGAAATTGCAAAAATTGCGCTTTTCATTCCTACTTGGAAAGAACCACCAGGCCTGTAAACAGCCTTCATGATCCCATGACAGCAAGCCTAAGGACAGCGCGCAGATCTACTAGAGAAGGAGGTCGGCCAGAATGGTCGTATGGAACTGCAACTGTCCTATTTGCGTGATAGGACAATTCAGAGACTCCTAAGAGCTCACTACCAGAAAAACGCCACAGAAAAACCCCCAAAGACATGTATTCTTTGATTAGTAGTCTAACCTGTGCAGTTTGCAGGATTAGGCATCTATAACTGTCAAACATAAGTATGTTTTGCATGTCAGCTTAACAATAGCAGACGTATTATTATATTTGTATTTAGAGGGCAGGTGTATTTACATTGCAAATCTTTCAGCAAAACCAGCACGCCCACGTTTGTGCTTGCAAAGAACCTATTACAAATAACAATATAAGTTTGCAAAAGTTCCCACTTGGCTTTTTTTTTTAGGGTATGTTGGTCACGTCTGAAATCAAATGCTACAGTACACATGCACAATTAAAAGTAAAGGATTTGAACATAACAATGGTGTTCATTCTACTGTTCATAATGCATCCTTTTAACTTCATTTAGCAAATAGATCAATTGCAAATTGTCCAAAGACAACTTTATTCTATGAACCTTAACTTTTTTTTAAAAAAAACAACTTACAAAATACTGTAGAATTCAACAGTTTATTTCAGAGAACTGTGACCTCTATGGTATTTTCTTGCCATTTCTTTCTTTTCTATCTCCATTATTTTTAAGGAAGGTTTTGTTCTACACTTACATAATAACAAAACCTCACTTTCAAGGTTATTGCTGTGACTCTTCCAGAAGCAATTTTTGTAGTGAACTATCACAAGGGAATTCACTATATCCAGTTTAGCACTGGGGACCCAATCCTGCAAACTCTCAAACGCGTATTTCATTTTAAACCCAGCAGCAATCGTATAGGTTTCCAAGGGACTATTTATATGATTACACTTAATCCCATGCAGGTACTGAGCTTGGGAACAATTAAGACCATAAGCTTCTTTTAGCAAAGGCTATCTTTAATACATCTGTCAAAACATGCTTGAGCCTAATTAAGACCTCAGCCACTGTGATACTTCTATTAATTAACAACACAACTGGCCCTGACAAACTCTTGAGTCGAAAGGTGTTTTTTTCCCTCTCACCAAACTGTAAAGGAACATTTTTTCAGCAATTTACAAACACCGTTCTCTCACTCACCCCTTTGTTGCTATGTCATAGGAAAGACAGTATTAAAACCCTTTCATCAATAGTCACTTGATGAATCTTCTATTTCTACATTTTTAAAAACTGAGATTAAGGTCTCTCAGAATAAAATATAATCTGTATAGTCACTTAAATTATCAGTAACCACTTCAACTACATTATCTCAAACACTGACTGAATAGCTGAGGGCTCTTCTCTAGGTTCATCAACACTGACTTAAGCCATCTCACGCTGCTTGTCATTTAACTACACTAATTTCAACATATAGTCACATAGTTCTTGAAGGTTTCCTATCAGAGCGAGAGAAATTACTTCCTGGAATGCACTTCTTGTATAAACCTCTTAAAGCAATGGATGATCCTCTTTGGTTGTGACCTTCAGCAGCGCAACGCCCCATCCTCTCGGTTGAAACACAAGCGCTAACCTACCAAGCACTAACCTACCACTTCGCAACACGGGATTCCATTCAAAATGGCAGTTTTGTGTTTTCTGCTGCTGGGTTTTTTCCTTTTTTTTTCTTTTTCCCCTTGGGATTTTTATTTTAAAATTCCATTACGCCTCTTTGCTCTGCCAATCAAAGCGCTCTGCAGAAACACCGTTGTCACAGGCGAATATGTTTCAACAGAAGCCGAAGCAGATTTCCCGATTCACTCCTGTGCCAAAGACAAGAGTCTTTTGGGCAGCCTTGTGCGGGACCATGCGCTGCAACAACATGCAGCTGTCATTTCAGGATGACGAGAGGCATTCTAGGTAATTATCATGCATGAGCTTAGAATGACTGCAATTACTCGGAAAACATTAACAGCCCAGCGTGGGCCACGCAGGACTCGTACTTTGGATTCAATAGTGTCACCTTGTGTTACCGGTAGACTAGCTGCAGTCAAGCATGTAGAATGGCAGTCTTTACTGAAATTACTTACAAATAAGTAATTTATGCCTTGATTTATGCCTTGTTTTTCCAAAGGTCTTTAATTCTTAAGAGATCAAGTACTTATGCCTCTGTGTGTTTTTCCTTGAATGTAACTAGAGCATCTGGTTTTTTGTTTGTTTTTAATTTAACTTCAACGGGGAATGCAAGAGGGTCATAAATCATAGCATTTCACAAAAGCAGCAATGCTGCTGACTGCCAGGAACTGAAATTCCTACACGGAAGTGCGCTTTTACCATCCGTTAAAGACAGACTGCCCCTAACATGTTAATTTTTTCTGGATCTAGGATCCACCACCATTCTGACTTATACCAAGGATTACAAACAGAGCAGCAACAAGCACTTCTGCAGGTCATAAGAGGCTGCAAAAGCTCCTCTCTGTTTGCTACTAAATTACGCTAAAAGGAAAGGTAAGTAAAATGAGACTGTCCAAAATCTCCTCCTCTCGTTGCCCTCTCCACCCCCGAAACATGCCATCAGATTGTGGTCTGAGTTATCGGAAAAAAAATCCATCAAGTTTTACAGTTTAAGGATCCATGCCAGGCCATAACCATCTTCTACTTGTCTCGTAGCCCTGGTCTTAGGCCTCGGCATCTTCTCTTCGGTACAGAGAGTTCTGCTGGGATTTCACCACAGTCTTTCATTTCACTCTCTGTTTTTTTTTTTTCTTTTGCCCCAAAGCAGTAGCTGAAGAAGGATGGTTTTCTGCTTCCTGGAGTTTTCACTTTCAGAAATGAAACTGGGTACTACAGCTTGGCAAAACCACTTTTTCTCACACTGTTTTTCCAATTCATCCTGGATTTGCCAGAGCAAGAAATCCACACACGGTTTGGAGCTGGGAACAGCTGGATTTAATGCATTTCCAAAGAAAGTTATTTTGCGTGAATGTATGAAAAGTACTAGAAAGCATTCCTTGTTCTGTCAGCTTGCATGGCTACGATCCTTTTTTTCAGTTCCTTTTCATGCTAGAAGCATGGTCCTGCATGTACGGTGAGGGCAGGAATGGCTGGAGCAGCTGGACAAATTTGACATCCTTTCATTTAAACTTGTTCCATGTTATCCGGCTGCCATGCAAGATTTATGGATTGGATAGAGACTTGTCAGTCTCCAGAAGCGCAAAATGGCTAGAGAATTTTGTGTGCGTGCCTTTGAAATCCATCACGCTCTCTGAGCTTTCAGAGCGTAACCCTTTATGTTCCTACAGGACAACAGAGACTTTATAAATTCAGACAATGACTGTAACAGTAGTTTATTTGGGAGGGAAGGACGGCAAGAAAGATGACAGCATTCTGATTCCAACATTATTACTAATGATAAACACTAGAAAACTCCTCTCCTGGGAGGAAATTCCTGCTCCCCACAACTCATGCAGAAAGGAAAAGAAGAGACAAAGAAGCTGTGCCAGCAGTTTTTCGCTGCCTTAGCCCACATGCCATTTTTTCTCTGCCTTTGTAAAGGATCTGGTATTTCAGACACTGCGCTTCCATTTGATTTCAAAATAAACCACCTTCTTTTACTTAAGGATCTTGAAGCCCAAGTGCCCAGATTAAGTCTTCTCCCTTATCCACAAGGCTAGTTTACTACCAGCTTGGAGACAGACTTGTCTCTCTGAGCTTCCCAGTGAAAGAAAATGATCTTGTTTCTTTCCATGCCAACAGGCTTTAAACGCAGAGAGCATTTCCGCACCAGACGTCTCCAGCCATTTGGATATGTACATGGTTACGAAAGAGGTAATGCTTTTCCTGACACAGGAGTTTTCTTTCTGAAGCTTCTATCCCAACGGTACCGTTCATCCGGAAGGAACCCCACTCCTCAGGTGATCACGGTGAGGACACTGTAGAAATTCCTGCTTTCTAAAGCTGTTCTGTAGTTCATCGTCTGGAGGAGAGAGAGGTCTTTGTGCCAGCAATCTCATAGCAGCTGGCCTTTCCTCGCTAAAATGAGGGAAATGCTAGCGTGCTTCCCAGAAGCACTCCAAGTTACGCTGACAAGAGATGGAAAGTTCCCCCCAGACCCTGCCCCAAAAGCTCTGGAGGACAGAGAGGAAGATCGTTGCTTGAAAAGCAACTCCTGCTCTCCCTGGTGCTGACCACAGGTGCCAGCAGACTCTGGCG